ATCCAAGAAACTACGCCATCCGCAAGTATCCGCAAGAGACGCAGGGCAGGAAGATGACAGACCAGAGCATAAAGACAGAGTTCCGGTCACTTACAACCCGTGGTTACAGAAACTCTACTCAGAGATTGCGAAAAAGAAAAACATCAATATCACATACAGGAGATGTCCCACGGTCTTTAATATACTCCGTAATGCTAAAGATCCTCCCAACAATCACATGCTTTCGGGAGTATATACCATCCCATTGAAGGATCATCGATGTGATGAACAGCTATTATACATTGGATCCACTAAACGCTCGTTATCTGTCAGATTAAAAGAACACATCGCAGACATACAGCATGGAAGAATAACCACGGCACTCGCTCGTTATGCCACAGATCCAGATATCGAACCTAAGTTTAGTGAGGCTAGAATCATTCACACCACACCACATACGGAACATCTAAGATGGATAGAGGCAATGTCTATATATAAAGCGGCCCGAAACAACAGGTGCATTAATAATAAGGAGGAATTATCTCTATCCCTAGCGTGGGAAATGCTTATACAGGACAGAGAAAATATTCTATAAAAAGAAAAATGTTTACATCGGTAAAATACGCATGCGTATTGATGACGACAGCGGCAGAATTCATCGTATTAGTTGATCGTTTCTCATTCAAATTTGGATTCCATCGAATGTTTTTTTGACTATTTAAGTTTTTTCACCTGAAGAAGAACCTAAGTGGGTTCGAAAACGTTTGTGGGAATTTTTTAACCGGATTTTTGTATTTAATTTCGCACCGTAAAGGTTTGTGGTTGATTAATTTTGCGTTAATACGGTGTTGCGGAGAAATTCACTATTAATAATAAACAGATGGCACCACATATGCAGTTTTAAATGTTGCTGGGAATGTTAAGCAACTCATTGCTGGAATTTTTTATAATGTAATTAGAAATTTAAATTGATTTTATATTTATAATTTAATTAATAATGTTTTACAATTTTAAATAAATTTACAATATTTTTCTCACCAAATTCTGATGTCAGAATTTGGTCAGAAAATCACTATTGAAAAAAATAATAATTTCAGCTTTTAACAATGGTTTAGAAATATATTAGTAGATAAAGAGTCTCAAAAGGCATTTTTTTTTTTTTTTTTATTTCTCATCATCTATATCCAAACTCAACTAAATCAAAATCAAGCTTACATTCTAACCCAGAGTACTAGTAACATTTTTTTCCAAATATCATTTGTCTACTAATATCTTAATCATTATTAAAAGTTGAACTGCTTTACTAGGAATTTTAAATTTAATGTCTGTTGAATTTTCAAAAATCAAAGTACAGTATCTCATAAAATACTTGTTCTATTAGATTTAAAATATTGGTTCTTTTATTATACACTTCTTATAACTTTGTCTGTCTGTGTCCAGTCTTGTAATTCAATTGTCAACCACTTCCCAATTTTCAATTTAGTTGAAACTTTGCATACATATGTATTCCTGATGACAATATGTTCTTTTAGAGTTTGTAAACAATTAGCAAAAATTTAAATTTGTAAAAATCTGATAACAGATGGCACTACATGTACAAACACTTTCCCCATTTTAGTCATACTGTCTACATAAAATCTTGTTACTGAAATTTTCACCCACCTTCTAATTAAATGCAAGAAGACTTTTAATAATTCAGTGTTCCACAAATAAAACAAAAGTAGAAAATAAAAAATATCAAAAAAATTTAAACACTTACTTTCCCTGCTGTTATCTATACATAACATGGGAAGTATTGGAATTGCATCAGAATTGACCCTTTGAGTGTTTTGCAAATCTCCATGTTTTGAGACTTCCTGAATCTGAAAAAGTAAAAAAGGGGGGCAAAATCATTCTGTGGATGTGTGTATGTTTGCATCTATTTTACTTAATATCTCAGGATAGGTTAAATAACAAAATTTGGCATGGTGGCTTATATATGAATGGCATTGATGCTATTAAATTTTTTAATATATAGTTGGTTTGCTGTATGTTAAATTAACAATGTAAATTCGTCTCTGTAATCCAAAACACACGCTTTGGTAGACTTATCTCACAGCAATTTCTGGTTAGCAAATTTAACTTTTATTTCTCATTGAACTACAAATATATTTCGGGTTGGTATAATATACTCCAACCCCTCTTCAGTGCTAGTTCAAATAAACAAAAAGTTTTAAAACATGACTATGTTATATTACATTAAATGAAACAAACCAAAAAACACTAAAAACACATTTTTTCATTAAGTACACAACAAAATTTGTTTCTTATTTTGCTTTTTTCACAAACTAGGGGGTAGGAGGGTAGACCGTTTTACAAACATCAATTTATGTTTTAACTTAAATACTATGCATACCATGTTAATATGTAAAATACAAATAAAGATTGCTATAGTTTAACTTGAAGGAAAAATTGATACTAAGGACAGATGAATTCAACGTCTCAATTTTTCCTTCAAGTTAAACTATAGCAATCTTTATTTGTATTTTACATATTAACATGGTATGCATAGTATTTAAGTTAAAACATAAATTGATGTTTGTACAACGGTCTACCCTCCTACCCCCTAGTTTGTGAAAAAAGCAAAATAAGAAACAAATTTTGTTGTGTACTTAATGAAAAAATGTAAGTGTTTTTAGTGTTTTTTGGTTTGTTTCATTTAATGTAATATAACATAGTCATGTTTTAACACTTTTTGTTTATTTGAACTAGCACTGAAGAGGGGTTGGAGTATATTATACCAACCCAAAATATATTTGTAGTTCAATGAGAAATAAAAGTTAAATTTGCTAACCAGAAATTGCTGTGAGATAAGTCTACCAAAGTGTGTGTTTTGGATTACAGAGACGAATTTACATTGTTAACTATTAAATTTTGTTTGTTAAAGATTGAGGGGGTGGGGAGATAAAGACGGTCATGTGTATCTCCAGTATAGTTGGACTTAATGACAATTTTACTCATTATTAGCATTTATACTTTTTTATAAGACTTATCCCTACCCTGAAAATTAAGATTTTTGCCATTTTATAGTAATTAAAAATACAAAATATTTTTTATAAGAATCTCATAATAGCTGGGAAAAGTTATGCAACTTGTTGCTGGATTTTTATTTATATAAATGCACTAAAAGGTAAAGAAAAATTTTTTCAGTTTTCACAGTATTCTTTGTATTATGTGACTAAAAATAAAAGTATGCAATGCTCATGGGAAGCCCACAAAAACTGATAGAAAGCATAACTAAGAATATTTCTAAACAATGCCCCATACTTTGTGGATTTATGAGAATAAAAGCATATCTTCGTAATATTTTTTTAGTTATTCATCTAAACAAACTATTAACAAATTTTAAAATTCCACTAATTTAAAAAAAAAAATTAAATTTAGAAATTCAAGTAAATTAAGAAGCCAATTTTTTCCTTGTATTGACCACTTGTTTATTTTCAAACAGAATTATCACTAAACATTACGTAAAAGGTTTAGTGATACTTTTATGTAGATAAAAGTCAAAAACAAAATATTTTTCTTATTAATACATGCATTCCATTTATGTTTTTAAAAATTAAATTTTGCTTCTCAAGTTTATTTTTTATTTCATTTCTTTCATGAACTGTATACAAAAGTTTTTCTAAATTAATCTTATATTTTTAACTGTATATCTCCTAATTGTCTATAAGCAACTTCTTTTTAGCCTTCAAAATCTTAGTTTAGTTTCATTTAACCTGTATATTCTTATCCGTTGAATAGGGATGCCAGGTTAAATGCTTTTCTACTTATAGATTTTATATTTACTTTAAGCAAAGAATAAAGAAATATGAATATTATTCTCAAGCATTTGATATAAAACTTCAGTTATAAAACGTTTTATAATTAGATTTTATCTAACTGGACTGATACTGTGAAAATAGCAAAAAAAAAGTGTATTATTCTAATGAGTAATGTGTGTAATATAAATTAACATTTTTAGCTTCTTTACTGATCATTTTAAGTTGTTTAGGTATGGAATATTTTACTGTTAATCTATATGGTTTGTAAGGAATTTTCTAAATTTAATTGTAGTATTCTTTTATATTCAGTTTTTTCTGGTTTTTTTTAATAGAAAACATGTTTTAGTAATCTAAAGATGACTTATAAAGAAAGCTGAAAATGTTTTAATTATTTGTTAGAATAGTTTTTCCTACATCTGCATGGAAAACATCCATTCTTGACTATATATATATAATATATATATATATATATTCATTATTGTTGACTGTTGTATATTGTCAGCTATAGTTTTATTAAAAATTTCTTTTTCTTTAAATACTTTTTATTTTATTCTCTTGCTGTAATTGTAATAATTTCTATATTTTCCTCTCCTAAACTCTCATATTTTATATGAAATACAATCAAAATTTATTAAATGTATTCTTTACTAATTGGATAAAAAATTGCTTTATTGAGATAAAAAAAATTAACAACTTCTAATAATTACTTCTTTTGGACTTAGTTAAAACAAATTGTCTCTAGGGCATAACCAGCTTTTAATCTTAAGAGTAGATTTCAAAAATCTGTAAAGTTGAATTCAAGCCTGTCTTGTTGAAAGAGGTTATTGCACTCACAAATTATCATGTTGGACTATGTTCTTTTGAAAAACTTACTTTTATTCTTCTTGTTAAAAGGATTGTAACCTAGTTTTATAATTTTGCTTTTAGTTATACTAATTTTAGCAATTTTTAAATTATAATTATTGTGTTCAAGTAACAGCCAGACATCATATTGTTTCTTAAAATTTTTAGTTTATAAATATCAACTGTTTAATGCACAATTTCAATAATAATTATTTTTCACAACTAAAGGGGTGGCATTTGAGTAATTTATAATTGATATTCTTTATCAGTGAATAATTTTTTTGTTTCTTTTTTATCTGCATAGTTATGAATTATTTATGAAAATAATTTAAAATTCTAATTTGTTGTTTGATATTTTTAGATTCTTAACAGTAATATGCACTATTCCCAAATACCTTGCTGCAAAGTAAGGTAAATGCCAATATCACAGCAAGCACCTTAGAGAAAGGCAAACTGGACCTTAATGAGGAACTCCACCTGGATACTGGTAGCTCTAGCACATCATGTTCGGAAGAGCTTGGTAATGGTGATGAGGTGACAGTTGTGAGCAATGGATATCAGTTGTGTCATGCTGCCACTTTAACAGGTAATTAATAAATTAATTTTGAAAATTTTTTAAAACGCTATAAATAATTTTCATAATCAATTTAAGCATTAAATTTAACTAAGGATATTCAGGCACAAACTGTAAAACAAAGACACCTCTTTTTATCTTTTAATTACTGGAAAACACAAGGAACATTAAACACTATTTTTGTATCACAGATTATTTGGTTAATGTTGAAATGCAAAATTATAGAAATATTTTTTAGTAGTTGAAAAAAATTGTCAAAACTGTAGTTCATACAAAATATTTCAATTAATATGTCAACTCTGTGAATGATTTTGTTGGCATTTTTGATAATAAACTCACATTCAAATGCCACATAGAACAATTAAATCATTTGTCATTTGACTTGCAATTCTATATCATTTTTTTGCCATCATATATCCTTTAAAATTGTTTTACATTCCATCTTTTACACTAACTTCCAATCTACTATAGACTAGTGTTTGTTGATCTGGGCTATAGCTGATCCCTCCTTTTGGGAAAAAAATCTCTTAAAGAACTTTATTTAATATCAGGTATATTTTATTAATATCATAACTTACCTTTTACCAGTCATTTAAATGTTGCTAAGTCTAGATTGGTATTTCCTTTATTTAATTAATAAATATTTCAGTCTGCTGTTATAAATACTATAATGGCTTTGTTTGAGAGTTCACTTATGAAATACTCAAAATTTAACATGCATCCATATTTAACATGCATCCATATACTTTTTTTCTTTTGGACTATCAATAACTCAAAGATCTTGTTTCTACCACATTTTCCAAAATATTGATAATTTTGAACATTTATTCTATATTGATTTCCTTCATTTTAAAAATGCTTGTGAAAGATTATAATGTAATTATTAATTTATGCCTTATTTTTACTATTGGTTCAGTGTTAAAAGAAAAATAATAATAAAATTATTAACTTTTATCCAATGTTTTATTGTTGTATTTTATATATTTGTTTAGGTTTTATTGTTTATGTGGGAAGGAGATCTATTGTCTTAGACACTTCCTATTGTAAATAAGATAGATAAAATAAATTTCAAAGGAATATATATTGAAAATATTTACACATTACAATTTACAACCTAAATTATTTAATACTATAGAACAACTTCTATGTGACCAAATCAAGAATATAAATGCCCATTGATTGTTTATACCCACTGTTGGAAACAAATATTTTTTATAAATTATATCATTAATTCTATCTAATTAATATAGAAATACTTTAAGAATTACTATAACAAATTTTGATCATGAAATAATTAACTAATAAAAAAAATTTGATGTTTTTCTGTACTATAATTAAATTGTTTGTCTGTATTTTTATCTATAAATATGTAGTTATGGACATTTCTTATATTATTATTGTTAAACTTGAAATATAATTTACTTTTAAGCTATATTTAAAAATATCTAAATGCATCAATAGTCAACTACTATAAAAGATGTCCATGAAATGCTTGGCAAAACTTCAGAAGTGCATTCTTCATACAAAAAGTAACCTTCCATATGAACACAGGTCCATAAGTATTTATTTAGAGTTTTTAGTCACAATGTTAAAATATTTAGAGAGGCCATTCTTTATCAAAAATATTCTCATATAAATTAGTTGTTTTGAATGTAAATATTGGTTTTAAAAATAAATATGCATTAAATAATATTTAACACACACACACACACACACACAACAAAAATAAGCTTCTAGGCTTCAAATGTTTTTGCTTAAAATATTCAAGTAAACAAATGCATTCTCAGTAAAAAATTTTCCATGTGTGTTAAGTCTGTTAATTTGCACAATGTTTGAATAATGTAATTGTTTTCATAATTGAAGTTAGACTATTTACAAAAAGTCAAATTAACTTTTGAGTCCATCTTTAACCCTTATACACTACCACAGAAGTAACAGTTTAAAAAGTGGATAAAAATATGGTGTGAAGAATTTCTTTGTGTTTTTAATTGTAAAAGTGTCAGAACCTACAAGAAAAGGCTGACACTTGATCTTTTTTAACCTTGTGAAGTTTTTTTTTAATCAATTTTTACCTGTGTTTAAGAAGAGTTCTTCAAAGCAATTTTTTAAGACTTACTTCTGTGGTAGTGTATAAGGGATAAAGATGGACTCAAAAGTTAATTTGACTTTTTGTAAATAGTCTAAACTTCTATTATGAAGAAAATACATCCTGAGTTATCACAAAAATTGTAATGTAATTGTTGTTTTCACTGTTGTAGTATTCTTGTTCAGATATATGAGGAAAGAGACTCTAATATATAATCCTTTTTATGTGAGGAATATGATCTGAAAATTTAACCCAAAATTTCAGGGATATTCTAAGCAATGCTTTAAGCAGAAACAAATGATCCACTGCATAAATTATGATGATAGATATATTTCTTATAAATTCCATAAGCTACCAACTACTTAAGATATACTCCATTTTTTTCAAAGTTATACAATAAAATCTGAAAGTCTGAATTGCTTGGGACCCTGTAAACCTTCCAGCTTAGCAGGCTTGAACAAGAAATGGTCATTGTTTTAAAATGTGATTGTGCTTTTTTTCTTGCAAAGTTTCAATTTAGATAATATTTACTATATTCATAGAAATGGCTCAAAATACAGAAAAAAATTATATATATATTCTTAACTGAAAAAAAGCACATTGTCATTTGAACTAAGTGAAGCTTTTGTTTTTTGTCTCCCCAAAAATATAGACTTTTAGATGCTCTCCTGGGTAATTTACTTTCTCAAATTCAAACTTCAAGAGAGTTCTTAGATATGATACTCTTGAGTTTTGTTTTCATTTGTTTTAGTTATAATTAACAATGAAGTATTCAACATTTTTAATAATTTTATTTTTTAAATGTGTCAATACATTGGGGAAGCATAATTCTCCCATTGTTTTAAAATCAAAATTAACTTAGGCCAAGAATACAAATGTGAATGAAAATGGAAAATATATCAATATTTTCTAAGATTTCTTTTGTAATTGAATATAAAATCAAGTAGAGTGAATCTTTTTTACACAGCAAAAAATTTTTCAAGTATAGCCAATTGGAGAAATTTCTTTCAATGACATTTATTATAGTTATGAAGTTTTATCAAGATTTGAAAAAAATGGCACAAACTTTTTGCTGGCACATGTACAAAAAAACCAAAAGATGCTTAAATCTTACATTTTACATCTTAGATTTAATATACCTGTTTGAGATTAATTATTAAAGTTTACTAGCTTTTAGCACATTTGTTTTATTTTTCAATACTATGTTGAGTATATTCACTGTAGTTCCTGTATCGGTATGCCATTAAATCCAAATCACATGTCATTCTTTTAAAACAATTTAAAAACTCGTTGATGTGAATTATAATATTATTTAACTAAAGTGTTTCTTAAAATCTATCTTGATGTAAGCAAAATAAATATCAATTATCAAATATCATTGATTGCATTTCTGATATTTTTGCATCAGACTTTTTGATTCAATATTTGTTAGTTTTTGCCTTGACATATTCTAACTAATACAAGTCTGAGGTATAACACACTGCTTGCTGTTCATGTCTCAAAACTTGTCATCTTAGACAGGATATTTTGTGAGGAAAATATGACATTAATACTAAAATAACTGAACTTTTAGGCTTTCACAAGTTTATCTTTGGGATGTTCTGGTTCTCGCAGATTTTTACTATATTACTCAACTTTCTTATATACAGTCTGTTAAGAAATTATAAGACCACTACATTTTTTAGTTCTTTTCAAAACTAATGATGTTTAATAGTCAATTATTACTCTCAAAAAAGGTACAATAAATAATCAAGTTTTGAACAATTACTTCAACAATCTTAACACATTTTAGTTATTAGTTTTACAAGTCACATTTTCCCTATCCTCACATGATTACAGGCATGTTTAGAACTGTAGATAGAAATGTGTTCTATCTCTGCATTTCTAATGTTCTTTCTGCCATATTACCTGAAGACTGTTATATGCTGTTAAAAGTACATCAGTTAAACATATATACCCATAATACCAACAGAGTTTTTTAGATTTTTATTTTTAATCTTTTATTGTTAACGGGGGACAACATGTTAAGTTTAAGAGACAACATATTTTCTCTTAGACTTAACATTTTACTTTTGCCACTTTGTAATGCCTGAACCATTGCATGTTTTTCAAGTCTCTCTTCAGTGGCATCATCTATAGCAGTGTTTCCCAATGTGGGGCTCACAGCCCACAGGGGGGCAATTCGAAAATGGACTTGTCCAGAGTTTAAATTAATCAAATAGCCACTGTACATGTTAGGGGGCATAAGAATTTTAGAAAGGCTTAGATGAGGCATAGCACAAAAAAGGTTGGGAAACACTGATCTGTAGGATAGGAGCTTTAATTTCATACCTAAGTTATATTTTTTAGTCTTCAGCCATTTACTTAAACTAAGTCAAACTGAAACCTTTATTCAGTTAATATATGGATTTGAAACATTTTATGTTGAGTTTTACAAATTCTTTTTAAATCTATGAACTTGTTTATTGCAATTTCTCAATCTTTCTTGGTGTTCAAAAAATGTCATGAATTATTTTAATGTTTATTTCTAGCTTTATATTAATATATTTTCTTAATATAATTTGTAGCAAATTACTTAAGTTTAAAAACTTTATTTGTATAAGGTTCAAAAGTTCCAGAAATGGATAAAAAGTCAAGACATGTTAGTATATAAACAAATTTGTTTTGTAGAGTCTTGATTGTTTTTAAAATAGTTTCTGAATCTTTTTGAAACTGCTTGTTTTGTGAAAATACTTTCAGTATCAGAAATACATGAAAAATTATAATTATGATGTAAGAAAGACCAAGAACACGTCTTTTTTTATATCTGATATAAGTTAAATGTTGATAAATAAATTACAAATTTTATTGTATATAATTTATGTAGAAGTTTTGGATTAATGAATTACTTAATGAATAATGGTTTTATTTAATTATTAATTTCAGATTTGTGTAATAGTTGTGACAGTACAGAAGTAGAACTAGTCAGTTTAATAGAAGAAAAAATTCCACGTTACAGACTTCGCGCTGATACTCTTACTCAATTCTCAGGTCAGTTTTTTTAAAATATGGATTGTGTATGAAATGAGAATTAATAATTACAAATCTCTAAAAGTTTTGCTTGTTTATAAATATACATACATATTAAATAAGTTATATTTAGTATCTAGCAAAGTAATAAAAAAAAATTAGTAAATTTTTATATAAGTAAATGATATTAATGAAATATCAAACTCAGCTTTTTTAAACACTTAATGAAACATCAAACACCTTCTGTTGCTGAGAAATGTTTATTAAACGAAACACTAACATTTTCAACTTAATAAGATAGGCCATCTTCAGGTGTAACTGAATTCAAACATACTGTATTTTAAAAAACTTAACATTCTAATGACAGTACATCCAAACATTTTACATTTAAATTTAAAACGAAAATATTAGATAAGTTTACAAATAAATAAAAAAATAAAATATATTAAATAAACTAAAACGACAACAATATAAATAATATAATGAAATAAAATACATAAAATTGCATCTAAATATAAGGGCAAGTGCAGACTAAGAGTTTTTATATATTAATTTTTCTTTTATGTAGAATTTCCATGCAGAAGCTAGTCCATCCGTATCCCTGGCATTAATACAACCATTCTTTAATTTACTTTTATAGATTTCAATTTTTTTTCGTGCAATGCTAATGATGGGGAACCCATGGTTGAAAATGTTAGTTCTTTGTTTAATAAACATTTCTCAGTGATAGAAGGTGTTTGATGTTTCATTAAGAGTAAATGATATGCTAAATTTTTTTCTGTTAATCATATAATTCCTTGACCCATACTATTTTTTGACTTGCTGTTTATATTATGATGACATTTGTTTTGCTTCTAATACAAATATTTTAATGACACCTTAATTCAAGAGTTTTTTACAACTTAACTTTTTTTAGTCAGTGTAATATTAACTATTAAGCTATTCATTATTTTTTCTTTCTGGCATACACATTCTTTCTTTTAAAAGAATTATTAGATGATATAATTTGTTTCCAAACATTTCATGAATATTTAAATTGACTGAATGCCAATTTCCAACTGTAATGCTTCATAATATATTTTCCATAAAAATTTATTGTGATGACATTTGTAGACGACTTATTAAAAATATTAAACTTATCAAAATTACTTGAGTGACTCCTTCACATATTTTTAATAAGTTAGATAATAAGAAGTTGATGAAATAAAATAATAGAAAATTATGTTGAAAATGAGAAGTAAATAATATATGTATTCAAATTCTAAAAAGATAAATATTAAAATGCATAAGTTTCACATATAACATTATACAAATGGTCCAATTTTTTTTTTTAATATTGGAATTAGTTGTTTGTTTGATAATCATAATACACTTTCTCATTATTTTCAATTTAGGTAAGATTTCTGTTAGGTTCAAAAATCAGTTGAATAGGAAAAAAAATACCTGTTTTAAAAGGATCATAAACTTGTTAACATAATGAACAAAAGCACAACTAGATAATTATTCATTAAAAAAAAAGGGATAATTACTTTGTAATTTTCTAATAGTAAAAGATTAGCCAGCTGGATGGCTGAGCAGTTAACCTATGGATATGGAGGAACAAATTCAGACAGGTCAAAAAACCTTGAATTTTTTTAGGGTAGTCCATCTTAGATAAGGTAGGCCCCATCCTTCACCATTCTGCCACCTCATTGTTGGCCTTGCCAAATTGACAATGGGCTTGACTAAAGTGCCTTCTTAGTGTCCATAGGGTTAAGAGAGATATTAAAAAAAAAAAAGAAACAAACAAAAATAAGTAGATTAAAAAAGTCTAATAAATAATTTGTCATTTGCAAATTTATTAGCACTTAATGATTAAATATTTATGAATTAGATAATGAAATAAATATAATTTAAAATGGAATGGTTTAATAAGTTTTTTATTTGTGTTATAAAATTATCTGAGATCTGACTCTCTTCTGCTTCACAAATATAATAATGTTTTGAAATTCATTTTGAAAAATCTTTGAATTATAATAATAGGATATATTTTAAATTTAATAAATTTATAAAATGTGATTAAAAATTGCAGAATGGCATTGCGATTATGTCACAATAAATAAATAATTGCTAGTTTTGTTTCATTTATTTTGAATATAGAAATTATTACGTTAAAATTAAGTGTTTATTTAGGTCTACACGCAAATTTCGATGTACTGCACTTGTACTGTATATTGTGGAGTGTTGTATGAGCAGGGGCTCTGCTATAGTTAGAGTAAGAAGTTCTATTATTGTTCACGAGACGAGTTTTTATGAAGTTCTAGAGATAAGTGGATTAGTCATAAATAGTAACATGCACTCAAGTTTGTTGAGTGGTCATCCAGAAGTGAAGATTTTACTCTACGCGAAACTAGAAATTCACGATTACTCGTCGTTAGAGACTCGTTTCGTCGCAAGTTAATCCTATCAATAATCGTATTTAAGTCATTAAAAATAACTGTCTTGTTAAAAACTGATTTTCGGATAAACCATATAATTGCTTATTTTATAGCAATTATAATATAAATCATACTTAAAATATTTTGGCGTTATTTCTAGTTTCTATTGTAACCGGATTTTCTTTAATATCTTTGATCCATCATATTCTCTTTATTGTGTTTTAGAGAAATCTTTTACACTTTATAATTCAACTGCAGATCGACTGAACACCGACACGGATCAACAATTTGAAGGTTGCATCAACTATAATTAAATTTTTGTATTAAATTCAATAAAGCAATAGTTATTAAATCTATCTACCACTTTATTAATCAATAATATAAAGAAATACAACGACACAAACAAAAACAGTAATACACGGAAACAAACAAACAACACTACAACACTACATAACATGAGATTCNTTATTAAATTAAATATTAAATTATTAAATTAAATTTGGAATTCTCTTTTTGTGGCTTATTTTTTAACCTGAAACATTGTTACTATAATTTCAAATTTTTAAAAGTTTATACTGGACATATAGAAGGGACTACAATTTGTCTTTTAATATCAGAGATTGATTTTATAAGTTAATGTGATTATTTAATTCAGAATTCAACAATAAGTTTTATCTTAAGCAATAATTATATCTAATTTCATATTATAGATTACAAAATAATTAATGTGTATTCTTATATACATTTTGTATAAAGACTATTTAATATATTTTATTAGAAATGGAATTAGTTAGTAGAATAACTACTGACAAAATAATTTCACTGAAAGAAAATGAAATCAAAACTGCTTTAATGGAGAAAAAAATTCTACCAAAAAATAATCAGAAAAATTGTCAAATACTTGTATAAGTTTTCTTTCATCAAGTGTACTGTACTGTACATTATGAAGTCTGATACATTGAATTACAGTAGAAATTTGTTAATCTGGATGTCTGGTAATCTAGCATTATCTGGCAGTGTAATTCAATAAACTATATGTAATCTACATTGTTCTGATTGAATATTACTGAATGTTTGTTTTATGTATGACTACTGTTGTTTCTTTTCCATAGTCCTATGTGATGACAGCACACCTAAAAACAGGTTTCTCATATTTGGAGCATGTGTAGCTTTTGTGAATTACATGTATAGTAAATGTCTGGAAAATTAAAATACAGGTACCCCCGTATAACACGGTAGTTACGTTCCAAAAAATTGCCGTGTTATGCGAATCCGTGTTATACGAAACAAAGAACTAGTGCGAAAAGGAGGGTTAGGTTCCAAAAATTAAAAAACATGTTATTATATTTTCATAATTAAGATAAATATCTTTATTAAAATTTTTTTAAGTGATACATAGAGGATTTGATCCTGGGATCTCGAAAATCGGGATCCCGGGATCCCGACCACTTTTCAGTCCCAAAATTTTCAGGATTAAGTTTTCCTAATCCCGAGATTTTCAGGATTGACATCATTTTAAAAAAGTTGCAAAATAGACTGCATGAAGCGAAACGTTCAGTGCCAGTGCTTTTAACAGAATTGTTTGCCTATCATTTTAATATAAAATACAAGAAATTTTATTCCAAGCAAGCAGCAGAAATTAACCTAGCGGGCTTGCGATGCTTGCTTGGAATAAAA